TGTGCAAAGCAGAGTGCAGTTCACATGGCTCTTAACAAAGAGGCATTGAGTGAGGTTGTGACAGAGCTCACCCAGAGCCTGGAGATCATTTCCAGAGCTTTCTGTATGGGGGAGCAAGAACCTGATTTGCAAGTGTGGGACAGCACCTCCTGGGCTTTTAGAGAGAGGGTTTCCAGCTCCAAGAGCCATCACCTGCCACTTCTGCTGTGTCCCTGACAGGGAGTGCAGCCCTCCCTTCCCAGCCCGTGTGCCTCAGGGCACCCCAAGCTGTGCACGGAGCCCCCGAGGCCTCGGTGAATATCTGGGCTTGGGATCGTGGGGAAAGGCATCAACACAAACCACTTCAGAGGCCAAGGTGGAGGAGTAGGATCTCCGAGGTCTGCACTAATGAGGTCTTGGCACCAACATGTCTTTGGCACACGGCTGGGCCCTTTTTGGTCCGCGACAAAAAAATAACACCACAAAACTAATGAATAAAATGCAAGTGGGCAAGCTGCAACCCATCCAGCTAATCCTTGCTCGGGTGCTGGCTGCCCCTGGGAGGTGTCAGCATGGATTGGTGGGCACTGGGAGATCTGGGCTGTGAAAATGGCAGGATTCATCCCCAGCTTTCTCCCTGCCCTACCAAGCGCATGGATCGTTCAGCAAAAGGAGAAACGCGGCCAATCCCAGCGCTTCACACACACACACATCCAGCTGAATATGTTCAAACCTCTCCAGAGGCTGATTAGTGATTTTATTTTCTCCTCCTCTGCCGGCCGTGCGTGCTCATTGCCATCAATTATCTATGCATTTGCCCTGATGAATTATTGAGTGTGTAACGGGGTGAGGGAAGGCCCGCCAGCCCAGCTCAGTCACCTTGCAAACAAGTACTCAAACAAGTACCCTCCAGAGCATGGCAGCAGCCAGGTTTGCCCTCTGGCTTCTGATTTAGGATGGGAAGCTGATCCAACAACCTCCCAAACCCCTTTCCCCCATCTGTCCCCCTTCCTCATCGCTGCATTGAGGTGTGGGTGCTCCTGGAGCAGAATGGGTGCGTTGTTTTCCTGATTTAAGTCTTGGGTGAGTGGAACAGAGAGAGTTTTTCCTGTCTTGCAAAAGAGTTGTTCAGTCACCTGGAAAGGAAGCACGATTTCCGCGCTGTGTTTGGGGTTTTTCAGGGTGTTTTTTTGTTTGTTTTGTTTTGTTATTTTGTTCTGCCGGGTGTTATTTTTTTGTTTTCCCTTTTCCCCTGGAGCCCTGAGAAAGTTTGGAATGTGTTTTTGTCAAGGCTGCTGCGTGTAAGGGCCTGAATGCCAGCTTTGGCAGCATTTGGCTGTTGGCAAGCTGTCCTCACTCAACTGGCACCAGCTTTTTCCCTGGCCAGAAATCTGGCTCTTCACACCTGGGCACTGAAGGCTTCTTCAAGACAATTGTGGGTTCAGGATCAGGTTTATCATCTCCAAAATCTACTTTTTCTCCAGTTTATGTCCAAACCCAGCTTGTTTTGATGCATGGGTCCCATGGCAGGGGGAGGGTAGAACTGGGAATTGTTGCTGCTGCTCAAGGTCAAGATAAATAGCTTGATTTTTAAAAGGGTCAGTTCATTAATTTGCAGGGAAATCACAGCGAAAAGGAAGGGCACAGTAATGATGGATGGAGTGAGGGACTGGACTGACCTCCCCTGTGCTATCCATCACATTCCCTGTGTGTTGAATGACTTTATCTCCATTCGAGAGGCACATCAGTGGAGGCCTTCAGCTGTGGCGGTGCTCACAGGGGTTCTTGGAATGAGGGAAGAGATGAGGATCTGACTCCATGTTTCAGAAGGCTGATTTATTATTTTATGATATATATTACATTAAAACTATACTAAAAGAATAGAAGAAAAGGTTTCATCAGAAGGTTAGCTAAGAATAGAGTAGGAAAGAATGATCACAGAGGTTTGTGGCTTGGCTCTCTGTCCGAGCCAGCTGGGCTGTGATTTGCCATTAATTAGAAATAACCAACATGGGCCAATCACAGATGCACCTGTTGCATTCCACAGCAGCAGATAATCAATGTTTACATTTTGTTCCTGAGGCCTTTCAGCTTCTCAGGAGGAAAAATCCTAAGGAAAGGGTTTTCCGTAAAAGATGTCTGCGACATTCACCCTGGCAGTGCTCATGCCACGAGGGACTGCCAACCCTCCAGGGGTGACTCTGAGGAGACTCTGGTGGCCTTCCACCCTCTCCTGTGTGCAGTTTGGCTCCTCTGCAGCTCCCGGGCACCAGAGGAGACGCTGAGCCCTGACTTCCTGCGCTGGGCCACTTTGTTGGGGTGTGGAAACTCTGGTTCAAAGGGCCCCGCTGGGCCCTGTGGGGGGTCAGGGAGCTTGTGGGGAGCAGAGCCAGCTCCTGTGGGGAGCAGAGCCAGCTGTGGCAGCGCCCCAGCCCCAGGCAGGCCCCACTGGGGGCACCAGGCCTCGGTGGAAGCAGCGCTGATGACTCCACGCTCCCCCGGCCCTGGGAGCTGAGGGAGTGCTGAGCACACCCACCCGGGCCGGGCCGTTCCCAAGGCCCTGGCTACGTGATTGAAGTGCTCCCCAGCAAGCTCCCACACGCTCTGGGAGGCTCTGGAGCCTTCCGAGCCAGACTGCTTGGCAAAGCTGTTCCTCACCTTGGCGGGTGTGGGCAATGCTCACCTCCAGGGTGGAAGGAGCAGCATATGCTGCACAGCATGGTGGAGACATCTCCCCCTCCCCTGTGCACCCGTTCTTCCCTCAGATCCCAGCGTGGCCTTGTCTAAACCCAGCCTGTGCCCTCGTTTGATCAGGGAGGATGTTGTGGGTGCTGGTGGTAGAAATGTCCTGCACTGTGTCCTGCTGCTGAGACATCCTAATCCAGAGAGGAAACATGGTCCAGATGAGGGGGGACCATATTTCCCCTCTGGAGAAGGATTCCTCAGAGTGGGGACATCCTACCTTCTGCTTTGTGGAAGCAAAACTGTGGGGAAGCTGGCCCTGGCTGTGCTGGGATGGGAAGGGTGCACCCTGCCAGCCCCAGAGGACACGGTGGCTTTGTGTGCTCAGGCACTTGAGGGCACCAGCACTTTGCTGTGGCTGCAAGAAGCTCTGGAGAACATTCCTGAGCACCCAGCTGCAGTGCTGGGGTGTGGGGCTTGGCTCGGGGAGCAGGGGGCAAGTCTACACAAAGCTCTGGAGGCCGAGTTTCGGTCGGAACTGCTGATGGCTGTGGTCAGTGGTGGCGTCTCGTGGCCAGGCTGGGTTGTTGGGGCTTGTCCTCAGGGTCACAGGAAGGAGAAGGGAGAAAGAAGAGGCGTGGATGAGAATTGGGGATTAGGGTAAGGCTGGGAACAGCAGGCAGGGAGTGAGGGGGCAGCGTGGAGTGTGGGTGGAGAAGAGTTTTGTCTGCCTGCACTCGTGTGTGTGTCTGTGAAACTTCAGGAAAGAGACTCTTGGAGAGGTCCCAGGGCACATCTGCCACGGGGACCAACACTGAGGAGTTTTTTTTAGCCTTGGACAGGGAGCCATTCATCCCTGGAAGAACAGAGCAGGGTGACATTTCTGTTAGGAGGCGCTGTCTTGTTTCTCTTGCTCTGCATTTTTCTTTCCCCAGCCCCTCTCTCTCTTCCATTACTCTTTCATATTTCTCACTCTCTGTGCAGAACATGAAAGAGTTCTCTATCTTTTTTTTTTTTATTATCCCTTTCTTTCCTTTCCTGCCCAGCTCCCAGAATCCATCCAATTGCAGATTCTCCCAGAAGCTGGGAGCAAAACCCGCTTTTCTCGTTCTTCCCACCTTGCCTCCCTGTTGTATTTATCATACAAATACTGGCTGTATAATTACCAGAGCATTATCTCTAAACACACAGATTAGGAAAAGACACAGTGGCAACAAAGATGAATTTCAGGGTCAGTCTGGTGGGAGATGCTTTTCTCCATCTGGCAGGGGAGGAATCAAATGAGACAGAAGAGCTGTCATGGACTGCAGCTCCCACTTCTCACCAGCACCTTCCACAGAACAGGGTGGAAGGTTCCTAAATTCAGCCACTTCTGGGGTTATAAAAAGGCCACAGAAATGATCTGGATGATACAGGGAGATCATGCAAGGTGCAGAGGCAGTGCCTTAACATTGTTCCCATATGGGAATTATTGCTGCCCAGAAATGAGGGCTGAGTCTTTGCAGCTCCTTTAATTACTGCTGCAGCTCCAATGGGATTAAATGAATGTCTGAGTGTGTCTTAGCATATGTTGGGATGCGCTGTGCTGATAAACATCAGGGCTTTCACATGCCTGCAGACACACATGCCCTGCATATTTACCACAACTGACTCAGTGTCACCCCGAGCTGAAGACAAAGGGAGGAAGGTGTTATTGATCCAGCCCTGTGCCTTTGGGTGATGATGATGATGAGCCTTAGGCTGGCCATAGTGGGAGGAAGGTGTTTATGACCAAGATTGAAGCTGCAGCTGGGTGCAGAAAGTGCCTGTAGCCACAAATTGCTCTTGTATCAGCTATGTCAATAAGAAACACAAGCCTGTGAGAAACTACTGAGGGAGCTGGAGTTGTTTAGCCTGGAGAAAAGGAGACTCAGGAGTGACCTTATCACTCTCTACATCTCCTGAAAGGTGGCTGTGCTCAGCTGGGGTTGGGCTCTTTCTCCAGGCAGAACCAGAGGATGCAGCCTCAAGCTGTGAAAGGAAAATTTAGGTTGGATATTAGGAAAAAGTTTTTTACAGAAAGAGTGATAAAGTTCTGGAATGTTCTGCCCAGGGAGGTGGTGGAGTCACCACCCATGGATGTGTTTAACAAATCCTGGATGTGGCACTGGGTGCCAGGGTTTAGTTGAAGTGTTGGGGCTGGGTTGGACTCGATGATCTCGAAGGTCTCTTCCAACCTGGTGATTCTGTGAATTCTGTGAAACAAGTGGAGTAAACAGGGGAGTTCCTGACCCTGATGCTAATAACCACAGTGCTTCTGGGAAGCCCCCAAATGCTCACAAGTTGCCATTTCATTGCAGGGCTGCAAGCTCAGAGCGTCTTGGTCAATGACTCCGTCTCGGGGTTCATCGGCACGGACGTGGTGCTGCACTGCAGCTTCACCAACCCTCTGCCCATCGTGAAGATCACTCAGGTGACGTGGCAGAAGGCCACCAACGGCACCAAGCAGAATGTGGCCATCTACAACCCCGCCATGGGCGTGTCCATCCTGTCCCCCTACAAGGAGAGGGTGACTTTCCGCAACCCTTCCTTCAAGGATGGCACCATCCAGCTGTCCCGGCTGGAGCTGGACGATGAGGGCGTTTACATCTGTGAGTTTGCCACCTTCCCCACCGGCAACCGGGAAGGGCAGCTGAACCTCACCGTGCTGGGTAAGGCTCTGCAGGGTGAACCTCCAGTCCAACAGAGCTGGAGGAAGCTGAGATTCACATCCTGGGAGCTCGTGGCGAATTTGGGGTGTGAATTGTAGCTGGGATGGATTTTAATGTTTTAATGTTGACTGGGAAGAGGTGAAGAGCAGGGAGAACAAAGCAGGTGGTTCTGAGACAGCTGAGCTGTCACACCTCTTCTTTTTCCAGGCCTCAGTTCCCCTTTTCCCTCCACCTACACTCCTAATGTAGGTGCAGGAACAGTGACCAGGGCCCTGTGGGAGTGGTGAGTTTTAATGAGCTGGGGCTGTCAAGAGAGAAGAAACAACAGATTGATCCTAAACTCAATCAGAGCTTGTCCCTGGAGCTCAGGGCTGTGAGTGAACAGATCCCACCCAAGGTCTACATGAGCTGTTTTCTCTCCAATTTCAGTTCCTTTCTAACACAGGGATGAAAACCTCTGGGAGGAAAGGGCTTTCCATATATCCATGCATTTATGGCACCTCCACCATTGTTTTCCCATAAATGATGCAGGTAGATGGTGCAAGGTGCATAGGCATAAAGGAAATATTACATGGGAATTATTGCTGGCAATTTGCACACTCTGGACTCACCACAAGCCCTGTCACAGCCTCAGTGGTGTTAGATGGCTTGGGGATGTAGCAAACAGAGCAGCACTGCTTTTCTAACCATCCCTTTGCACCCTTTTCTCCTCCTCCTCTGTGACTGTGTTCACAGGGGTCCAAGGATGAGGGAAGAGATAAGGATCTGACTCCATGTTTCAGAAGGCTTGATTTATTATTTTATCATATATATTATATTAAAACTATACTAAAAGAATAGAAGGAAAGATTTCCTCAGTAGGCTAGCTAAGAATAGAAAAAGAAAGAATGATGACAAAAGCTTGTGTCTCAGACAGAAAGTCTGAGCTAGCTGACTGTGATTGGCTATTAATTAGAAACAACTAACATAAGCCAATCACAGATGCACCTGTTGCATTCCACAGCAGCAGATAATCATTGTTTACATTTTGTTTCTGAAGCTTCTCAGCTTCTCAAGAGGAAAAATCCTAAAGAAAAGATTTTTCATAAAACATGTCTGTGACACTCCTCCTCCTCCTCCTTTCTGCACTCCCCTACAGCCAAGCCCACGAACTGGATGGAGGGCACCAAGAGGCCTCTAATCGCCAAGTCTGGCAGGACAGAGAAGATCTTGGTGGCCACCTGCACCTCCTCCAACGGGAAACCCCCCAGCACCGTCACCTGGGACACGAAGCTGAAGGGGGAGGCGGAGTTCCAGGAGATCCGGAACAGCAACGGCACCATCACGGTGATCAGCCGGTACCGGCTGGTGCCGAGCCGCGAGGCGCACCGCCAGCAGCTCATGTGCGTGGTCAACTACCAGCTGGAGAGGTTCACCGACAGCATCACCCTCAACGTGCAGTGTAAGGGGCCTGGCACGGCTGGGAGGGCTCGCCCTGCTCAGGGCTGGGCTCTGGGGAAAGAGGGGTTTGGGTTGGGCTTCTGGAGGGGCTGTGGTTGTGGTTTTGAGAGTGAGAACTGAAAGGATCCTTTGGAATAATTGTGGGTTTTCTCTTTTTCCTTCCTTCTTCCTCTGCTTCTGCTGTGTCCCTTTTGTTCTCCTTCTCTCTCTCTTTTGCATTCCCATGATCTTTCCCTCCTCATGTTTCTCTCCTTCCTCCACTCCTGCCTCATCTCTTCCTATTTCATCTTCTCCCCTTTCCTTCCCCACATTCCTTGTCCCATCACCTGTCCCTCCTTGAAATCTTTCCTTCTCCCACTCCTACCCCCTCACCTCTACCTATTTCATTTTCTCCCCTTTCCCACAATCCTTTCATCTCCTTTTAATCTCTCTCCTTTTCCCACCGTGCCCCTCATCTCTTCCCATCTCATTTCCTCCCCTTTCCTCTCTCCTTTTCCCCCCCTGCTCTCTTCCCTTTCCCCCCACCCTTGCAGATGAGCCAGAAGTCACCATCGAGGGTTTTGATGGCAACTGGTTCCTGAACCGCAAGGATGTGAAGCTGATCTGCAAGTCTGATGCCAACCCCCCAGCTCACACCTACGAGTGGAAGCTGTAAGTGTCCCCAGAGCCCCACTGCCAGCAGCAAATGTCACCTCCCAGCAGGGACAAGGAGTCTCTGCAGACACCTCACTCACCCTGTGGTCACTTAGGGCCCAGTCCCATTAGTGTCAGCGGTGTCACCCCAAGGTACAACCTGTGCCTGTGGTGGGGGTGGCTGCCAGCTCAGTGCAGCCTCAATATCCAGGGAAAATTCCCCTTTCTCACCTCCCTGGGATCATACTCTGCCCTGGTGACGTGAGGCAGCTGAGATGTGACAAGGTGATTCACGTGCCCAGAACCACTAAGTGCCTCGGCAGCAGAGCTGGGAAAGAACCCAGGAGTTCCCTGCTTTGAAAAGGCACAAATAACACAAAATTTGTGTGTGTGTGTGTGTGTGTGTGTGTGTGTGTGTGTGTGTGAACAACCTTCCCCTGGAATCAGCTCCTCACGTGACTGGCATTAAACAGCAGCAATTCCTTGTCCTCAGGTTTCCAGCTTTTGGCTGAACACACTAAAGGGACTTGAAAAGTGAGTGAGGGGTGTCTGGGCAGTCAGGTGGGAATTGATACAACCTGATGTGGTTCTCCTGCTGCTCTTTCTTCTCTGTAAGCACTCATGTAGCTTTAAAAGAGGAAGATCAAATGGATCCTTTCTTCTTTTCAGCTGGCATTTGTCATCAGGAGAGAGGCTCTCAACATGGCTTTGCAAGGAGCACATTCTCTCTCATTCCACTTCCCAGATCAAACTGTTCAAAGTGAAAGTCTGAAGAGGATTGTTTTTCTTGCCTTTTTTCCTAGTTCTCCATCCCCAGCTCTCTCCATCTGTTGGTTCTGCCAGTCTGACTTAAAACTCTGAGGGGCTCTCTGGGTTCCTCACAATATTTCCAGAAAAGCCTCAGAGGCAAAAACGCACCCAAGGCAGAAGAGATGCCACTTGAGGCAATTTCTGTGCCTGGAGTGTAAAACCCAGCAGTGCTTTTCCTCTCCTCCCATTTGGGTGGTGATGAGCAGCAGTCAGAGGAGGCAACAATCCCACACCACCCCTTTGAGCACCCTGTGCTCTTGTTTTTGTAGGTTCAGGGCCCTGTAGGACCATGGTTAAGGTGTTTTTCCATCAGCTTGGGAATCATTGGCTTGATGCAGCTGGAAAAATTGTTTTCTGTACATATGTGTATATGTAGACATGCAGAATACATGCATTTAGGCACTGCTTTACAATCCTAATTATACCCCCGTTATTCCCTTTTGTTTCTTATAAATTGCTGACAATATGTGCACATTTGGGTTGGGAGGAGGGGAAGGAATTACTTGAGTAATTTTTAATTGCCTAAGAGGAGTAATTACTTTACTTTGCTTCAGTAATTAAGAATAACCAGGCCATGTGTGTCTTTTCCTAACACACAGGGGCTTTTTTTTTTATTTTTTTTCATCTGCCTTTGTCAATTTATTTTCTGTATCTCCGGGTTTAGTTTTGCATTATTCTAGTTTCACACTTTGTGACGTGAGCAGGGCTCTAAATCAACACTGGTGTGCTTGAAATTAACCCTGGCTGATCAGGGGAGTTAAATGGGCAGGAAATTGGGTTTAAAACAGGCTCAGGTTGTGTCCCTTTCATGCCTACATTAATGGGGATTTTCCAGCCAGCACCTCCAGCTTCCACACTTGCCCACAGGCAAGCACAGACCCAGAACGTTGCTGTCACCTCTGGGTGTCACCTGTGGGGTCAACCATTGTCTCTGTTCCCCCCAGGCCAAACGGGACCCTGCCAGGGAGTGTGGAAATCCAGAACAACACCATCTACTTCAAAGGGCCCGTGTCCTACAGCGTGGCTGGCACCTACGTCTGCGAGGCCACCAACGCCATCGGGACACGCTCGGGCCTGGTGGAGGTCAATGTCACAGGTAGGACAGCACCTGGGCTGCTCTGCAGCATTGGAAAAACAAGGTGGGGAGGGAGACAAAGGTGTGAGCAGTTCTGTGGTGGTGTTCTTAGGATGAGGGAAGAGGTGAGGATCTGACTCCATGTTTCAGATGGCTTGATTTATTATTTTATGATATATATTATATTAAAACTATACTAAAAGAATAAAAGAAAGGATTTCATCAGAAGGCTAGCTAAGAATAGAAAAGGAATGAAATGATAAAAGTTTGTGTCTTGGACAGACAGTCCGGACAGCTGGACTGTGATTGGTCATTAATTAGAAACAACCACATGAGACCAATCCCAGATGCACCTGTTGCATTCCACAGCAGCAGATAACCATTGGTTACATTTTGTTCCTGAGGTCTTTCAGCTTCTCAGGAGAAAAAATCCTAAAGAAAAGATTTTTCATAAAATGTGTCTGTACCACAGCTCCATCTCCTCAGTCACACTGCCTCCTTTCAGGGTGGGAATCTCCTGAGTGAAATGGGGCAGTGGAGTTCTTGGCTTTGGGCTGGTGTTGCACTGGTTTGCTGTGGATTTTCTCCTTTCCTCTCGTGGTCTTTTTTCTTTCCTACATCAATTCAGCTGGTTCCCCCCTCGTCTTCTGCTTTGGATTCAGAGAGATTGTTGTACATGTTAACAGCAGAGGCACGTCAGGGAGATATTGATCAGAAAAAGGGGCAGGGTGAGGATGTGGACTGCCAGAAAGGCAGGAGATGGATGAGTCACTTGTCCACGATGGTGTTTGGTGTTCCTGGTGTTGGGCAATTCTCATGATTCTTCATTTGAGCTCCTTGCAGTGCTGCTCTGTGAATTCACTCACCTGCCAGGGATCCCTGTGGGTGCTGGAGGAGCTTTGGGCTCCAGGGAGGAGCAGCATCCCAGGCTGCAGGCAGTGGGAAGTGATGCTGTGGTGTCACAGGAGACAGAAGGGATCTGAGGGCCTGCAAAGCACTGTGGCCACAGGAGGGAGGGAAAGACATGTGGGCAAGCTGAGGTAGCGTCAGGGAGAGAAAGTCATGTCAGGAAATAGCTTTGAGAGAAGAAATAACATATGGCAGTAACCTGATTTCTGAAAGTCAGAGTGACATTGTGAGACATCACCGAGGGGGAAAAGGGGCTGTGGGTGTTTCGAGAGCAGGAAAGGGACAATTACCCCATTCCTTTGGGACAAAAGGGGCCATTTGGGTTATCACACAGTGACTCAGGAGGGCTGGAAGTGCCTCTTGGAGCAGTGAGGAGGGGCACAGCCACACTGCAGCGAGCTCTGGGCTGCAAACAGCCCAGACAGGATGGGCAGTGAGGTGAATGAGGTGCACTGGGTGCTTCCAAGGCATGAGGAGCACAGGACAGCCTCCCAAGGCTGTTACCTCTTGTTCTGCCCAGCCCAAGGCACTCAGAGCCTCTCCTGCCACCCCAGTCCTTGGGGAGATGTCTGACCTGAGGGTGATGAAATCCCAGCCCCTGCACCAGCTTTCTCTGCTGGTAAATACTGAGCAAGCACAGAGCCAAGTCTGGGACAGCTAAAATTAGCAATAACTCCGTGTTTGGCACCTCAGCTCCCCTCTCTAACTTGGGCAAACCAGGCTAAGCTTCCTCTAACCAAGTGCTTGGAGGTCAATGGATGGGATGTGCTAATTAGATGCTAATTACCCGGTATTTGTTTATGATCATTATCACTGGAGCAGGTCTTTCATTCACACCTCCTGTCCTGGATCCCTGCCTGCTGAGCTGCTCCTGGTGCAGCCATTTCTCTGGGGGCTTTCTTGTGCCAGGGAAAGGCACTGGGAGAACAAAGCCCTTTGTGCCCAGCCCTGCCCAGGCACCCAAAACCAGGGCAAGGTCATGGCCAAAATCAGCTGCTGGGGAGTGGTCACCTTGGTGTTCCTGGGGCAGCGCTTGGTTCAAGCTGAGCTGACTCCCTTTGGCAGCAGAAATCCAACCCACACAGCGTCCACAACCTTGGGGCACGTTTGAAACAGTGAGCAGAGCTTAAAACCCTCCAAGGTCAGCCCCAGATACAGAGGAGAAGGTGGAGTAGGGAATGAAAGAGACTTTGAGAGTGAGAGGCTCTCACTTTCCATCCCTCCATAGCCTCTGTGTCCATTTCTTGCTGTCATTCTTGTTGCAGCTTGAATTGCTGCTAGTAAAGTCCAGGGTGGGGTGTAACTTAGGAGAAGCCCCTCCAAGCCTCCACAATTCTGCCTGTCCAGCCACCCCATATAATTTGGGGTGTCTGGGCACGAGGCACAGCCCTCTCTTTGTGTTTCCTGCCCATTTTTGATGTGTCTCAGCACCACAGTGGCACTGAAGGTGGCTGCACCAGCTCACCTGCACAGGCTCCTCCAGACACGAGGGGCTGTGGCTTCCCCCTCTGGAATTTGGAATTGTCTCTTTTCCTGGTGTTTTTACAAAGGACTGGAAAAGAGCATTGTTCTCAGGCTCCACCAGCTCAGGGCTGGCAGGATTTTTGGGGTTGTGTTGGTGTCTGCCTGCCTCTAATCTCAGCTGGTTCCCAATGGTCCTGGCTGTGGGGATGAGGTTAAATGAGAGGGAATGAAGGGCACACCCACAGCTGCCCTGTGAGGAGGGATTAACAGCCAACCCCACAGGCCAGGCCTGCACCACATAATAAAAAAAAAAAAAATCCTTTAATAATTCATGGGATCTGAATATGTTTATCCAGCTCTCCCTGAGGAGCGATTAGGCCGGTGCTGGGGAGGGCTCACCCTCCTCACTCAGCTATTACAGGTACATTTGTTTGGGTCTTGCAGGCAATTTAGGGATTGTCAGTGGACCACGAAACCTCTTTCAAGAGCTGCATGCAATAAATGGAGTTCAATCTAGTGAGCAGCCAGCCTTGGGAGGAAAAAAAAAACAACACAGAAGGCTGATGCAGAGAAAAGCCTGCAGCAGCTTTTCCCCTTTCTGTCTCCCTGTTCTCCCCCCTTATGCCACCCAAAATCTTCCCTCCAGGCCCCAGAGAGGAAAATGCAGGGCTGGTCCAGCCCCCTGATGGGGAGGGCAATTTGTTCAGAGGGAGAAGGCTGAATGCTTCTCGGAGAGTTATGGCGCATTAAAGAGATTGATAAGTGGAAATTTAATATTTTATTCCAGCAATCTGTTCCCCTAATAGCTTCTCCTGCCTTGCAGGACCTTTGTCAGTCGCAGGCAAGCCATGTAGTGTGACATGTAACTATTTATTACAGGCAGTGGGTGACAGAGTAAAAGGCTGTGCTTATGGACTGCACATGTGTGATGGTCCTGAACAGAGAACTGGCCGGCCATGGATATTCACCTGTGTGATCCAAATCTGCATCCTGGCCATGGATATTCACCTGTTTGATTCCATCCTGGCCATGAATATTCACCTGTCTTATCCCAATCTGCATCCTGGCCATGGATATTCACCTGTGTGATCCCAATGTGCATCCCAGCCATGGATATTCACCTGTGTGATGCTAATCTGCATCCTGGCCATGGATATTCACACCTGTATGACCCCATTTGTGTCCTGGCCATGGATATTCACACCTGTACGATCCCATTTGTGTCTTGGTCATGGATATTCATGTGTGTGATCCTGATTTTATCCTGGTCATGGACATTCAAATGTGTGTGACCCCAATGGACATTCACACCATGGATATTCACACCTGTGTGATCCCATTTTCATCTTGCCTGTGGACATTCATATGTGTGTGGCCCCAATGAACATTCCCACCTGTGTGATCCCATTTTGTCCTGCCCATGGTCTTACACACCTGTGTGATCCCATTTTCATCCTGGCCACGGATATTCCCACCTGAGACTCCCAATTTTCAGCCTGCCCATGGAAATGGTTTTCCCAAAGCTGCGTGCACAGGGCAGGATGAAAATGGGAATTTTGGGAAATGGGAATTCCTGCATAGGGCAGGAATAGAACATTTGCATGTGGAAATGTCGATGGATTCATGAGCATGGGCTTTTCTGGGTGCAGCAGAGCATGGACACACCCTAGCCCCATGCAGGAAACATTCACCCATTTGTGCACTGGCTCCAGCCAGAGGAAGCTCAAGGAGAAAGGGGAAAAAATGGCAAATGGGCCTTTGAAGGAGACTCACAGAGCTGGGGCAGCAGGGAGAGCCTGTGCCAGCAGCTCTGCAGCGCTGGCCTTGGATGTGCTGCAGGCTGGGGGGGAGGAAAAGCTGGCAGGGGTTGCTGACCCCCCCTGCTCTCCTGGCTCCCAGCAGGGAGTTATTTACACACCAGCAGCGCTCCCGTCCCAGCAAGGTCACTGCAAACAGCCCTGGGGCTCTCTGGAGCTGCTGCCACACAGCACTGGCTGGGAAAAGCCCTTTCTGGGAAGTCCTAAATGCCAATTCCTGCAGCAGGTGCTCCCAAAGGCAGGCAGATTTCGGTGGGAGGATGTGGGGCTGGGGGGAGCAAGCCCCAAGGAGGGGGGGTCTGGCTGATGCTAATCCTGCAGAGTGGCTGTGCATCCTGTCTGGTGGCATCTGTGCCAGCTGCCCCCACAGGAGCAGGGCCTGACTGACAGGGGATAGGTGACCTGAGAGAGAGATTAAAGCCTAAGACACGTTTGGCATCTGGCCCGAGAGCTGTCACACTCTGAAAGGCCGGGGGCAGCTGCTGCGCTGCTGGATTAGCTGCCAGTGGTTGTTCCATCCCCTCCCGCCCTGCAGGAACCCCTGGGAGGGAGGGGAAAGCTTGGAAAGCTGGAGATGGACATGGCAGAGGTGCAGGGGGGAGGGAGGAGGTCAGCAGCGCTCTGGGCTTCTCAAATTGCAGCTTTGTCCTGAGTTTTCTCATTATCTTGCCTCGTGTACATAACTTAACACACGAGCAAAGTCCTGGGATAATTTGGCGTGGGCTGTTCCGGCAGGGAAAGTTTGCCATCAGCAATCTGGCTCCTGAGCAAACCCTGCAGGGTCATTTCTGTGTTTGCTGAGGCCATCTGGGAACTGGGGAGCCCCATGAA